ACACAAAGATTCAAACAACCAGCGTACTCACCATTTTAAGTAGCAACATAAGCTCCACTGGAGTGTCCACGCAACAACTGACGCCCTCCGGCCCCTCCTTGAGGCGGAACTTCTTCAACTCCCTCTCCTCCTCGGGGCTGGGGCCCAGGCGGAAATCGTCGCAGGGGACGCACAGCTCTTCCTTCTGCATGATCTCATACGCCTGCTCGCCCACCTTGGGTTTGTGCCGGTGATGAACCAGGTCGTAGTTGAGATTCACGTACAGGACGGTTACGACGATGATGAGGATGATGAAGCCTGCGACACCCACACCAAACATGGCGAAGAGGTAAGTCCGCAGGCGGGCGATGGTGCGCTCGAGGTGCGAGTAGTCGAGCTGCTGGCTGGTCTGCTTCATGCTGTTGCTGTTGTTTGGGGGCGCCCCGCCGCCGTAGTGGTAGTTGCTGTTGTTGTTGCCGTTGCTGCTGCTGCTGTTGGTGTTGTTGCTGCCGCTGATGTTGTTGGCTGGCGTCGTGCTGCCGTTGCCATGGTTATCGCCCATTGGTGCGTTGCTCGGTCCGCTCGAGAGGTGATTTTTTTCGATGAACGGCTCTTTGCTGTCCACGTCGTTCATGTACTTCGACATGATGAAGCTGCTGCGGCCGCTGCGGTTGCTAGTGCTGTTGCTGTTGTCTCTCACTCGCTGCTGCAGCTGTTACTGATACTGTCGTTGTTGTCGTTGATGATGATGGCGATGATGAAGATGGATAATATGATGACGATGTGGACACAGTCGCTGTTCTGAGTAAAATGAACAAACAAAAAACAGCAATTATCTATCTATCCACGTAAGACGGAGCAGAACTAAACGTTATCAGAAGCGAAGTAATAAGAGCCGAGACTTTATCTGAGAGGAGAAACAGACTTTTTCCCCTTAAAGACCAACACAACTAATAACGTGGGGCAAAGAAGAAATGGGACATCTACAGTATGTAATATATATTTATAAATATACTCTCAATTCAACTAGGGTTTTTTTTCGGAGTTCATAATTATTGTGTGTGTGTGTGTGTGTGTGTGTGTGTGTGTGTGTGTGTGTGTGTGTGTGTGTGTGTGTGTGTGTGTGTGTGTGTGTGTGTATAGATATAGATAGAAGGACTGCAAAAGAGTAGGAAGAGATCGTTATTTCTTAACGCTTAAATCAACTTTCTCGCACCGCTGACGCTCCTGGGTGCCACTTATACTTTGAACATCGATAGTACAGACCGTTTAAGTTCTGGCGAGAACGATAAACTCTTAAGGTTATGTCTCTGGTTTCCTGCTCACAAATTACAGTTCACTGTACTTAATTGCCACGTTCTGGACAGCCAACAATTCCAGTTTTGACAGCTTATTGACGGGTGTGAACTACAACAAATACTACTGGGTGCTTGTAGGTGTTTCAGCTGCGTGCATATGCACCTTTACTGTACTTTGGTGCGTTAAAAAAAAAAAAACCAAAAAAGAACAAAAACCTACCAAGAAAAACCCCTAAAAACCCCAAAATGAACTGATTTGTGACGTTGATGAACTCAATCTCTGCACTTTACCAATAGATCAGCTTGGAAAGAAAGGGTGGTTTTGTTTTTATTTGGGGGCGGGGTGTTGTTTTTGTTTTTCAAACTCATAAGTATTGACAATTGCGATATTCCCTCCCAGTCCCAGTCAACTACGGATGAGCTGATGTCGTCGGGAGAGTGAAAAAAAAAAAGAACAACTTGTCCGAAGTTCAACTTAACCGCTGGGACCAGTAAAGAAGGAGAAGAGGTGCTGGAACTCAAGAAAAAGATCAACTTAACCGAAGATCAACCTAAACGAGTTCAACATAGGCGAGTCGACTCCAAGAGTTTCTAAACTACTGTGAATTTGGATTTTTACGTTGGTTTCAATAAGGCAACAGAACACAAGGTATTAAAAAATCAACAGCTAAATTTGTTGCTTTTAAGGACAAGCGGACTATCCCAAGAATGTGTTTTGAGAATATCGAAGTTGACATTTTTGAATTTTTATTGGGTCTCATTAAAAGACAAGGAGGAGTTTTCTCTATAACCAAACAAATATACACACCAATGAAACCAAACTTCTCCTAAAGGTAGGGCAATGCCCACTTTTGGTGTAGGTCAAGATTTCTGGAAACCCCCGAAATCTGGGTTAGCCCGCTTGTCCTTAAACGTGACCATTTTATGGTATATCATTAGTCACATATTTTTGTGCAAGTACCTTAAGTCTTGACGTAGCAAGTCTCCCTCGACTGTCGTGGAAATGTTATGGCCGACTCCGCTTTGGTAGCGACAACGATGGGCGGCTCAGAGGTGGGGTCTTTTGTCTGAGCCACGCAGACTCGATATCCACCCACACAGCCGTCTGGGCGCCAGTCTCACAATGATGTAGTCACCTCGGCAGTCTAGGGGGAGACAGAGAAATAATGAAGGTACTGACCGTTAATAATAATAATTATTATTATA